GTGCCTCTTCCCCAAGCCGGCCTCCTTCATTGCTTTTGAGAAAGAAGGCTTTGTTAACGGCCTTGTCGAGGATTTTTCGCGGTTTTTTCTCCACTGCCGTTACACTTCGCATCTCTAAACTCAGTTTCAATCGCCATAATCCCCCGTATTGAGCCAGACTTTTGCCTTTAAATAATCAACTTTGACCTAATTGCGCACTCGTTGGGTTTTAAATGCGAAACCGTACTTCCCTCAAATTTGCAAAAATATTCCTAATTTTCGACGGCGAAAATTGTACCCACACACAATACAACCTCTTTGCTCAAGGTACTACTGACTGCATCAATTAGTGAATGCTAGTATCCCTTCTATCGGCCAAACGAAGTGACAGCAACACTCCTACCTCGCCCTCTCGTTGCCGTTTTGTCTCAGCTGTGACGTGACCTGCACGCGCTGGCGTCCGCGCCGCGGTGAGCTTATCTCTCCCCCCGCGGACGAGCTGCAGCGCTCACTGAAGATATTTGGCGTTATGTTGAATGGGGAGGCGATCATATGGCGCGATCCCATTGGCATTGGAGCGCATGGACCGCAATTGCCCCATCCTCCAGCTGCCGGACAACTCGTCTGTGTCACTCAACTACTAGACTTCAGTAATTGATCGATCTAATAATTTGGGTCTCAAAAATCTCATATTGCCCAAAGATCTAAAAAAAAAGCGTAGAGCTTCCCTGGCCTGATGCCAAGGCACACAGAATGTTGCGCGGACGAGTTGTCCGGCCACAGCAGACTGTGGTAATTTCTTCCTGTGCGCTCCAGTGCCAGTGGGATCGCGCCGTATGACGCACCAAGTTAAATAAATGTAGGTACTAAGCAAGTCCTACATCACACACCACGCGCTGAGACTCGTCCGCTGGCTCGATGCGTTCTGCAGTTTCGCCGTTGGACAAGCCTCCTGTAGAGTACCTAGCAAAACTTTGCAAAGGAGAAACTGCACAAGATTGTGCTGCCTCTGGTACATTGCCTGCGGCAGCCAAAGGCCAAAATATTACAGGGCAATGTTCTAGCAAGATGTCAAAAAACCCGAAATGTTAACAATGCGCTAAGCAAGGGACAAACAAGTTCAGGAGACTCTACTCCGCCCTGTATGTCGGTCGCCGATCGCAGAACCGACGTCGCAAAAAAAACGAACTAGCTGGGGCAAGAATTTTCCTTACAGCCTAATGTTTCGCTTTGTCTGAGTCCCGCGCAGTCGCAGGTCCGTTACTTTTTCAGTCGTCGCCAGTTTGCTCTGTCCGCGGCATCTTCTACCATGGCCGTGACCTCTATTAGGTCCTTCTTATTACGTCCCTGTGCTCTCCAAGCGCCCTCCAAGCCTCTATGGGTACTCCGGACGAACCGCCTTTCCAACCTTCAGCTTCGCAAGTGCACACAGAACCTCATCCTCTGGCCAGGGTGTGATTGAAGCAGCTGTGGCCTCTGCCCGTGAGTTGTTTTGTGGGGGAACTCCTCGTTAAGAGACCTTTAAAGTACTCTTCCCACCTCCTCCGGACTTCGGCTGGCTTCCTCAAGATGGCCGTTGCTGCTCTTCACTCTCTTCACCACCCTGATACCTTGAATAGCCCAATTTCGGGCTTTAGCTAGTCTGAAGACGGACTTCTCAGCGATTCTGCCTTCCAACTTCTCGTACTGGGCGTCCATCTCCGTGTTCTTTGCCTTGGCTACGGTAGCCTGAGCGAGCCTCTTGCTATGGGGGTTATCGAGGGTCCTGGTCACGAATATGACATCATTTTGCGCCATTTGGCAAGCTAAGGCCACAATTGATTATCACCAAATTCGCTGTAGACTTCTGGATAGGGGTTATTTAGGGCCCTGATCTCAAATATGACACTCGTTTTTGACATTCGTGCTGTTTAACGCGTATTTTCTGCTTTTCTGAGCTTCCTCACCTATAGCGCCTCAGACTAAGTTTAGGGGAGGGGGTGGAACTCCGGAGTGCGTTAACCACGCACCGTGTGGCAAAAGTTGGAGTGTGTCAGACCACAGGGGAGTGACCTACCCACTTCGGAGTCCTCCACTATTCAAAGGCTTAGCCCTGATTGCGATCTAATTAGTGCGAGGGCGCAGACGAGCAGGAAGTAGAGGTCGAATAGCGCCAACAACAAAAACAAATGTCGTATTTGTAATCACTACCCCAAATAACCCTTATACAGAAGTTTACAGAGATTTAGTAGTAATCAGTCTGGCGCCACCTGGCGCCAAATGGCGTCAAATTGGCAAAAATGAGTAGCATATCCCTGATGAGGACCCTTGATAACCCCCATAGCCGAAGTTTCAGCGAAAATTATTTCTTGATCCATCTCACCCATACTGGGGTTGTAATAGTGCAATAGTGTCGAGCTTCTTCCTGCAGTTAACTAAAACTTCTGGATCTATTCCGAACAACGAAATCCTCTGTTTACACAAAAGGCTCTTTGGTTTCAGACTCGTTCTCACCCAGTGGCCGTAAGGTATGCTTCCCCGAATGGTTGCGGGGACGAAAGTCCCTTTAAATTTTTTGTTTTGAACGATACTGTTCCTTTATTTTCAATGCATGCTTACTTTAAGCTATCACGTCGTGTGGTATGCTTGTGTTGAAAATCCTACTTACTATAAAGCGCTTCGTCTGTCGTGTGTTGTGTGTCGTTCTGTCGTTCTGTATGCCTGTCACGAAATTCCCGATCTCCTCGGGATCCACCTGGAGGGACCGGGTCAAGTGTGGGATGGGTGGGCAGGGTCTCACGTAATACAAAACACACATCAGCTAAGCGGAGCCCCGCCCACAGAGGGCGTGGCGTGCGTCGAAATGATTTGTACCGAAGACCAAGATTTCGATTTCAGTGACAAAACGACCTCGAAACTGGGCCAAAAAGTTGGTTAAGGTGTGCATTGGTAAGTCACATCGAATTAGGGAGACCCTCCCCGGTGGATGGGGCGTTCTTCAAAAAAGCAGTGCTTTATGAAAAATTTCATAACTCGGTTGGGAGAAAGCCCACAGAGCAGAAACAATTTGGTGTAAGGGAGCGATGTATAAGGTGTTTCCTGCATACATGACGAACAGGACGTGGGCGGAAGCCCGCCCAGAATGGGCGGGGCGCGCTCTGAAGTGTACAGCATTTTCTACAAGCCCTCATAATTCGGGTCGGGGAAGTCTTAAAGAGCCGGAAAAAAGGTGGATGGAGGTGGGAGCCCAACTATCATCGGGGCGGGGCTTAACCAAAGTGGGCGAAGTTTGCGACATAAATTCAAAACTCGGCTCCAACAAGTCCCGGAGGCCGGAAAAAAGGTGGATAAAGGTGGGTGGAGGAGTGGAGGTTAATTGTCATCGGTGGGCGCGGCTTGACTAAAGGGGGTGGAGTTTGCGACGGAAATTCATAGCTTGGCTCCAAGAAGTCTCGGAGGCACGGAAAAAGGTGGGTAGAGGTGGGTGGAGGAGTGGAACTTAAATACCATCAGTGAGCGGAGCATGGTCAAAGTGGGCGGACTCACCCAGGAAAATTCATAACTTGGTTCCAAGAAGTCCTGGAGAACGGGAAAAAAGTGGATATAGGTCAGCAAAGAAAGAGAAGTTAACTGCTACGGTTGGGTGGAGCGTGCGCTAATATGGGCGGAGTTTGCGCCGAAATTGTAATTCGGCTACATGAAGTCCCGAAGGCAGGGAAAAAGGTGGATGGAGGTGGGTGGAGGAGTGGAACTTAAGTACCATCACGTGAGCGGAGTCATGGTCAAATGTGGGCGGACTCACCAGGAAAATTCATAACTTGGTTTCCAAGAAGTCCTGGAGAACGGGAAAAAAGTGGATATAGTCAGGCAAGAAAGAGAAGTTAACTGCTACGTGTTGGGTGGAGCGTGCGCTAATATGGGCGAGTTTGCGCCGAAATTGTAATTCGGCTCATGAAGTCTCGAAGGCAGGGAAAGGTGGATGGAGTGGGTGGAGGAGTGAGCGCAGCTATCACCCGTGAGCGGGGCTTGACCAAAGTGGGCGTAGTTGCGAGTTTAGCGAGTTTCGTAACTCGGCTGCAAGAAGTCCTAGAGATGAGGGAAAACAGGGGTCCAGAGTTGGCGAGGGAAAAGAGGATCAGCTGCTTCCAGAGGTCCAGAGCCCGGTGAAAAAAGGTAGAGGTCGGCGAAAGGAGGGGCCAAATGCTATTGGTGGGCGGAGCACGCACCGAAGAAGGCGGAGTTTGCCACGAGAAATTTATTGTCCGAAGCAGTCCGGAGAACGGCAAAAGAGAATTATGGTTGACGAAGAAAAGAGGTTGAAAGCCGTCGATGATGGAGCGGATGGAGTTCAGCTGAAAATTCAGATATTCGTGGTGTATCGAGCCAAATTGAAAATTTTCGTCGCACCTAATCATGTTCTTTATCGGGTCAGCGTATGCCAACGCCGCGTCGAGAGAACGTTTATGCTAGAGTAACCCTGTAGTCACGCAAGTGCAGAGGAATCCGGAGTGACCGAACACGCCAAGATCGAAGCATCAGGGACGACTGGCCGTTTTGCGCCAAGGAATCGAAGATAAGAGTGGCGCCGACACGGTATGCGAATTCTTTGCGATGACGCTTTGGGGACCAGGCGGTTCCGAATGATCCCTCGGACGTCAAACGAACACTTGGACGACCGCCGCCCGATGGTCAGACTTCTGCACGAAAGCTCTGACGAAGGAATCGAAGGACACGTGTCCTCGAGGCGAGGAGGGTGCACTGGAAACCTGCACGCGACAGGGACAATTGGAGAGACGTTGCTGGGCCCGCCCGAGCAATTCGATGATGAATGGGACTACAGGTGATACAGGTGATACCATCAAAATTCGCCGCAGATCTGTGCGTAATGCGTGCGGCGCCAACTGGTAGAGTATCATGCTAAACTTGATTAATTGCGGGCATAGATACGTGAAAATCAGGTTTCGCATATTCAAGTTCTGTAATGTCAATGTCAATGCTTGGTAGGCAATCGGTTGACCATTCTCCCCGTCTCTCCTCACGACATGACAGCATCACCAGCTCGACGCGCTCTGCCGTTGTTCTTTCGAAAACGCGGCTGCTGCGCTGCGGTCGGAAAGCAGTGTGGCTCCAATGGTTCGTGAAGTTCGTTACGATGGGTGTGCTCGGGATGTTTTCTCTTTATCTTTCACAATGTGAGTATGATAACTACTGTCATTTCCTGGAGTTATGGTGCGCAGTTGTGTGCGGCCTAAAGAAATGTGATATTTATTAGCGTGATTCTTGCTTAATATGATGTGGATTCGTTTCCGTTTAACGTTGTAGATGGCCATTAATTTTATAGGCGACTGAAGCGCTGAGTTATGTAGGTTGGACTCCTGTGGTTGCAAATTTTCTTATTTATTACATATTTCCTTTGTTTGCATTTTTTTCCTTATGATCCAAATCCTGACGTTATCTGTGTCGTGAACGATATAGAGGTAGCTGATTGTATGTAACTTGGGTATGGAGTTCCTTATTTCCAGGAACTTTCCAGCAATCTCTTCGACATCCGCGGCTCCAACTGCTTCTCTCATTGGCATTTGCAGCTTCCGCTGCTTCGGTAATCTTGCTGGATTTCAACGTATTGGTTAGGTAAATTTGCTTATGAATTCCCCTATGCACAGCGGAACACTTTTGGTAGATTTACTTTTGGTATTGTTGTTGTTTTTCGAGCATCGTTTTTGAAACTTGTTACGGAGTGACTCTTTCGATTTTTCGGTGCTCGTTTTGTTAAACATTCAACTGTGTGAGCCATTCACAGTATGTGGAACCAAGCCTTCTAGGCAGCGTTCATAGTTCGCGACTCTGGAGATTAGGATAGTAGGCGATAGGATAGTAGTAGAGTAGGAGATTGCGCTGCCAAGATCAGATATGTGTTGGTCTATTCACTTGAAGTCGCCCAATCTACTACTCTCCAGTGATTTCAGTCGATACGTATCCAATCTTGTCAGCGCAATCTCCTACTCTATTACTATCCCAATATCCTGCCGCCTACCATCCTAGTCTCTCGAGTCGCGAACTACGAATGCGGCCTTACAAGGGAGGTCGTTTAGGTTTGCCAAGCTTTTTCAAAGTGGTTTCTTGTATGGGATAGGGGCACATGTAAGAACCACAGAACCATGGTCCGTTTTTTTTTCGTGAACGTAGTAGTAGTACCAAAAAAAGGGGGTCCCTAGTTTGATTCGTCGTGGTGACAAATTTTTGCATTTCGAATCAACGTTTCAAAATTCGCGCAAAATGGGGTTAGCATGAATTATGAATTCCATATTCATAACTAGGACTGTCAGTAACCATTACAAAAAGACTTGGATTAAAAAACTGGTGAAAGAGGTGTGCCACCAAAACGGCCCCACTGTGAGGTCACAATTTCCCACCAGTTCTTTGATCAGAGTCTTTTTGTAAGGGTTATTGATGGTCCTTATCATGAATATGGTACTAACTAGTTTCGCTCCGCCCGCTATCGCGCGCATCACAGGATAGGGAGGAACCACGGAATAGCAGCATGATGTACTCCAGTAAACACCTCACTATTGAATGTGTTATACCTCCTTATACCTCTTCTCTCCGGCGCATGGCAGCGCCCTCTTCCCCATCCCTTTCTCCTCTCCCCCTCCCTTCCCTCCCCTTTGCCCCTGTAAGTGCTAAATGCTCGATTCGGTATGATATGAAGCGTATCTCGACGCTAAGCGCCTGCTATCCTATTATAAATGCCTGGAGAGAATGATCAAACTAAAGTTATGTGTATTCGATGCAAAGAATACATGTGACATATATGTATAAGTTGTCGGCGCATGTGCTTCCGGGGGGGGGGGGGCACCTGTTGGAATCCCACTAGGTCTGAGCCTAACGCAAAAGGATGAATTCCGGAGCGAATGAAATTTACCGCAGCTCGATTTCGCTCTTGTCCTTCAAAGCTTAGTCCCAAAACTGAAAATTTTCGTGAACCTGTCGCAATGTTACCGGATGTCCCCCCTCCCCACTCCTTAGCCACGTTGCGCCCGAGTATCTTGCGCTTTTCTCTTTGTTGACTCACTCTTAGCCGCACTGAAAGCCTATCCCCTGAAAACCTTCTAAAAGTGTCTAAGGAAGTGCCAGATTCAATTGATGGTAGAGAGAGGAGCATGGTTCCGCAACGAAGTAGGTTCAAAAGTGGGCAGCATGCCAGGAAAACTCGTCCGGCATTTTTTCAGGGTGTAGGTTTAGTCGACAGTCCACAACGAACTAATTTAAACAGTGGGCAGCATGCCAGGAAATCTCGTCCGGCATTTTTTCAGGGTGTAGGTTTAGGCGACAGTGTTTAGAAGTGATTAACAGATGTTAAAGAAAATAGCGATCGAATTACTCTGCATGAATTATTGTATTTTCAAATCTGTGGAAAGATACAGTTACGTCGAAAGTTCAGGGTGTTGAAAGTCCGCCTCTATGGATAATCGCAACGGAACTGATTTCTCTGTAATTTTTCACGCGTTAAATCGTTGTCTATCACAGCAATATCACCATACCACAGCATAGTAATTGTTTCAATCAAGTTTTCGGTAAGACGTGATCAAGGCGTAGGCATTAAATTTTCTAAGAAATTCTGGTTCTTTTGCATTCAAGGGTTTCTGGACATCTCGCATACGTGTAAATTTGCATACAGCGATGTGTAATGTCGAATTAGTCACAAATCGCCTGCTGACTTGCTATCGTTGCTATGGGTAGACAAAATGCTTTCTTATATTTTGGTGATCAATAGAGGAAGTTCTTCAGGCTTTGTACCTCGCCCTGGTGCGGAAGTTGCGGAAGAACGTCAGTACACGAGTTGACGTATGATTGTAAAGGCACATCTGATGCGTGTTAACGCCCCAGCATTCCCGTTGCACTCTACTGGTACTTCCACACTGTTCGCACGTCCGCACCAGCCAAAGTGTGGAAGCAGCCTAAAAGGCGTAAAACTGGACTTTGCACTTGGTATTTTATTGGTCTCACAGTGGAAACTTCTCAGGAAAGGAAACTGAGGAAACCACATACTCTTTGAATCTTACCCCCTTATCTATTCAAGAAGTGCAAGCAATAATACTGACTTTCTGAAACAACCTCTCTAACATTAAAATATAAGAACTCAAAGTTTAGTAGACAGAATAGTTCACTACTAGACACTAAACAAATTGATTTCACTGTTAGAGTTGAAGTTTTTTTGTTGGTTAGAATTGCTGCAAATTATTTCTACGTGTTGAAACTCATACAGTGCTGCGTAGATCTGTCGGAATAACACTGAATTGTCATGTCAGGAAACCGTTAAAAGAACGCAGCACATCACTATCTAATGTTTTGGTCTTGAGGGATTGAAGTTCAGGGAGGTTAGCAGTGCTTTTTGCTGTTGATGATGACCTTTTGGAGACTCCGGTAGAGGTGATATCTGACCAATTATACAATAGCTAGTAGCAGGCCTGAAGTAGACATTTCGGAAATTCAGCAGTTCTTCAAGGTAAATGAGAGGGTGTAAGATGAGCATTGAATGAGCAGCACCAAAACCACCTTATTTCGATGTTTCGTTGCTTTTTCTACCTAAAAAGGACCAATTTTGCGAATGCAGTTTTCTCCTTGGTGAAGAGTGCACCCCTCGAAAAGATACGCGCACTGTTAGGTAAAGCTTTGACATTTTTTCCAAAAGCTCAAATTCCACAGAATAAGGATTACGGTGATTATTTCGGGACTTTCACATGAATGATGCATCAAGCCTTCCCTAATCTTCTTAGTGTGCTAAACGAACTATGGTGAATTACTGCAACACCGCTGTTCGTCTAGCACACTAATGTAAGAAGATGTTTGGGAGAGAAGTAAAACAATCATTCTCCATAGCGCCGCTCTGTTTCCGCATATTTCATCGTCTCTAGAAGTATACATTTGAAGGAATCTTTCACGGAAAAATCATGACTCAATTTCAGCCATAATTTACTGGCTTGAGACCCATCATATTCGATAAGAACGAAAACAACAGGGAAATTGTATTTGTTTTGGAAAAAAATTCGAAAAACCGGAGGGGCTGCTACGCGTTCAAGGTGCCCACGGACGTCTTTCACAAATGCTGGCGACAGGAATGCTTCCACTTGGTTCTTGGAGTGCCTTCACTAAAAACTCTTTCGGGACGATTTCGACTTGTTGCATTCGCATGTTACACTTCTACTCCATCCTACTCCATCGATCGATTTGTCTCTACTCTCCGAAATCGTGCGCTTTAACGATTTTTTCATTGTGTCGCCTGATACGTAGGCGCCCCAGTGCGGACTTATTCCATGCCCGGTCTTTGGCTCCGCCTGAATTACCTTCGATTGTCCATAGAATGGGCTCTCGTGAGTTTGTCCCTCTTCGGAAACCGCATCTTCATGCGTGGAACTTTGTGCGCTGTTTCTAGTGACCACAGCTGACACATTCATGTCAAGAAAGAATGCATGAATTTCCCGCGAAGGATCCTTTAATTATGGAAAGAAAAGGTGAATATTAAATTGGTAACAAAGCTAAGTAGTCTCAAAAAAGTTCACCTTGACTAGAAATGTTCTCACTATAAATTTTATCTCTGAAATAAAATGTCTTTTCAAAAATAGCAAGTAAAAAACCGCATTAATTACCAAGCAACCTAATAGTTATGCTGATACAGGCTCACCATGCCCTATATTCTTGGAGCCCATGATTTTTGCCGTCATTAATTATCTAAATTGTTTTACATGGTCCAGTAGATTTGCAAACGAACAGTATTTTTCTGTCGAGTCTGTGATATAAATCTAGTGAGTCATGGATCAGTAGGCAGTGCCGGCTGAAAATTTCCACTGTGCATGTTCAACTAACAATAGTTTCATGACCACGTTATCTTTCAGCAAATGTCTGCAGTCATAAATTCACGACCATCGTCAGCTGGAAACGCCAATAGCATAGGTGAAGATGCAAGACCAAGTGAGTAGTTGTGAACTAATTTGTATTCAGTTTTTTGAGGTTTTAGTGGTAGCTGTTTTGATTTTGAGTTCCTTCGCGTCATATTCAAATAATTAAAGAATAGATATCTTAGCGTTTACAATCCTGCTTCTTGAAGTATTTTTTACTGTGAAGAGGAATTTGAAGTCAGTAAGTTTTCCCCTAAGGCTGGTGTCAGAGTCCGCGATTCGTCGCGCGACAAAAATTGCAGGTGCCAATTAGAACATTTGAAACGCTGAATATGAAACAAGTAGAATCATGAATAGTCGTCATTCAACCTCACCATCGAGCAGCAATGGCACCTTGCAGTATTGATCGGGGCACTTGCGACTCCTGTGATCTGTCGCGCGAGGCTCCCCCACTTCCTTGACGATTTGGGGCGCAGCCGCGGCAAACCCGCGGCGTCAGCTTGCCTGAGTATTCGGCGTTACATTAGTGTTAGTTCATTCGATCGTAACGACACGTAGTGTAACGTCGAACACTCAGGCAAGCTGATGCCGCACTACTCGGCCGCGGACGCCGCGGCCGCGCCCCAAATCGTGACGAAAGTGAGGGGAGGCGTCGCGCGAGTCGCGCAACGGATCGCTGACTCTGACATCAGCCTAATGGAGGGTGTTTTTCTAGCATTGCTACACAAGATCGAAGGTCATGTTGCTCGAATAAATGATGTGGTTCTGCTTTCGAAAGAAGAGGGCGTATGGACAGCCAGTGATGACCGATCCATTAGGCTATACTTGAAGAGGGATAATGGACAGTTTTGGCCATCAATTCACAAAATTATGCCTGTAGCACCCACATGTCTTCACTACAGCGAGGAAACGTCAAGGTTGGCTTTCTCATGTAGCCATTTCTTTTCTTTTCCTTTTTCTATTGTTTTTCAAGAACGTATTCGTTGCGTCAACTAGCAATAAATGTATTACGTAATTCAGATTGCTGGTGGGGCTTTTGAATGGTCACGTGTATGAGTACTTCCTCGCTGATGACTACAATTCTATGAGTGATCCTGAAGTGCGCAGGTAACTTTTTGGTTTTCGATCCTTTTACTTTCTGCTACAAAACCAGATTTCCATCTTTTTCAATGTTTATGAATTGATCATGTGTACTTCTTTCATTCTTTGCTTTACGGACACATAGGTCAGTTGCCATACCATTAGCCTATACCGTTTGTGTTTACATTCCTCACCATTTGTAGTAGTGCAGAGAGGAGGCTAGGAGAGGTTGTTTTTTAGATGGTCAATACATGCTGGACCTATTTCTGGGCTAGGGCTGGCTTTAAGCGCTGAGCTTGTATTCAGCTGTTCGAAGGATAAATCCGTTATTTGGCACTGCTCAGAAACAGGCATAAAGCGTGGTGCGTCTCTTAACGGTTTTCTTTCTTTTGTCTGGTTCGTAATACCGTTTATTTTACGTTGCCTAAACACCTTTGCGGGAGTGATGTGGGTCTTTTCAACTTGTAATTTTAACAATTGAAGGTGCTTTTCATTGTGAGAGCAGCTGTACAGCAATGGCCATTGATCTTCCTTTTGTATTCATCGGCGATCATGGTGGTAATGTTGTTGTATTGAGGCTAAGTGGTGATACAGCTCAGATGGTCAGCAAGTTAAGCGCACACACAGGTGATGGCGTAACGTCAATATATTATCATACATTCTTCTTATTCGGCTCACCTTATTTCCACCACAGAGTTACGTGAAGCATTTTCGTTGTGCATATTGCAGGTTGCCAAGTTTTTCATGAGCTAAGCTCGCTCTTAAACTATTAAGACAATTAGACGCATTATTCGTGGACTCCAGTCATGCAGTAACTTCCAGGACCAATCTCTTCTTTGGCCTGGAACAGAGTGAAGGAGATTCTCTACTCGGGAAGTCACGACAGTTTAGTGATAATGTGGGATATCGGTGGGAAACGAGGGGAGGCTTATGAGCTCAAGTGAGTCGTCTGTTTCATACTCGTATTAGTAGAAGATTCAGATGAGATTTCCAGCGGACATTCCTCAAAAATCACTAGCTTGGCTATTGCTCCGGGCGCTGCCCGACTCTTCTCGGCTGATGATACAGGGAAACTCGTTTGCTGGGATATGTCTGCCAATAGGTTATTAATGCATCAAGTCTTTCTTTGTCTGTACCTTTTGATCAGGATTGCCTTCTATTGATGTTTACATTGCATTCACAGATTAGAAACCCCAGGATGGAAGAATTCTGACAATTGTGAGATTTGCGATAGCCCTTTCTTCTGGAACCTTTCTGCAATGTGGCAGAGAAAGGTATTCCTATGTGAAGACTGTTTTGCTGGTGTTGATTATTGGCCAAGATCTCAATCTTTCAGGTCGTTGGACAGAGGCAACATCATTGCCGAACATGTGGAAAGGCAGTGTGTGGAAGTTGTTGTTCAAACTGGACAGCTTTTCCTAGAATGGGTTACGAGTTGCCGGTTCGTATATGTAATGAATGCCATAAAAAGATGGAGGATAACCCGCAACTCTTCGAGTAAGTGCTTTTCAAACAACTAACGATACAGCGATTTCCTACGAATGCCCTTCCTAAAATTGCTCGGATTTAACTTCAGTTTTTTTTTTGAGAAACTTCATGTGAAACAAACGCTTAGAAGGAAGCAATAATTCGTATTCAGAAGAAAATCGATTTGAGCATGCTTTTATCTGGGACTTACGCAGAAATGTTAAGCTTTTGCTGTTGTGTGAAGATTGCTGCCTTGCCAATGTAGTCACCACATAGCTGAAATTCTTTATCGAAGTGGTTAAACTTTTCTGAAAATGTTCTTCTAAGATTACTTAGTGATTGGCTGTACACCTATCGTTGTTTTGGGTTTAGAATTTCGTGTTATTAGCCCTGATTATTTGAAGAATGGTTTTCACTTCATTTACGCAAGGGTACTAGAAGTCGATAAATGTTCTCTGGGACATTATCCAAGAAGAAGCAGTAAAACATCGAAGGTACCAGTAGCATCGATCACCTGTAAGAGCGAGAAATAGAGGGTCGAAGTTGTAAGATATGGGAGGGACCACAGCTTCATTGCGTGGATTGGTTGCTTAATAGCAAGGAGATCCACAACAGAAGCTTTTTGAAAAGCTGTGTGAATAGGGTCGCTTTCTCAAGGCTATGGTTGAAAAGTTTGGACGCCCTGCTAAGTAGTACATTAGGCTGATCCATTTTTTCACATTCAGTGTTAACACCTACAACGGTATGATCTTACAAAAGGAAAGTGCAACGAAATCTTAAAACTTAACCCGCTGTCAACTTTATTCATGAGCTACACTGTCTGCTTTCTTGTTGCCTTCCTTTTCGTGTTATTATATATCTCATGTTATGAGCCTCGTTTATTTGGAGAACGGGTTCCACTTCCTTTATGCAAGACTAGAAGTCGGTCAATCTTCTATGGCAAATTATCGAAAGAAAAGCAGGAAAAACATCGGAAGTACCATAGACTAGTTTTTTAGTGGTTCTACTATTTAGCCCCCCTACAGTTGTGCTGTAATTCAGCAATTTGACTGAAAATACAGGGTGCCCCATAAATATTGCACCACATTTATTCACTTGTGACTCTATTCAAAATGTATGTATCTTCAAGAGGTTTTACAAAAATTTTAGCAATACATTCAAATATTGAATGGAACGACACTCATCAGGTATAATCTCCTTCTACTGTGAGTATGGCACCCAGTTGCTTCGAACGCAACGCTGCAGTGGCCCGCATGTCATCCTAGGGTGTTCTTTACAAAATTTTGCAGAGAAAAGGTTCCGGCTCATACGTGTGGATGCAATGTTTAGTACAGGCTTTGCCCTCTAACATAGCCCACATAGGATGGTCCAGCACTCTGAAATCAAGGGTAGGGGAGCCATTTGTTCGAGGATGTGAAATCGGAAGAGCGCTCCTTAACAATTTTTGCTCCTGTGCAGAAGCTGAGCCTATTGAAAAGATCATCACCCATCCTCAGTGGCTAGATAGCGCAGTGGCAGATGATGCACCGAAGTGTCCCTTGGCTCAATCTACACTGCGTTAATAATACAACCACCCACAATTTGCTCGAAAACTCCAAGTTTATAGTGTCTCTGGAGAAATTGTCCAGATAGAAAATATGAAAAATTTCGTTGCGAATTCAGATATCAGAACAAAAATCCATGTCGAAAACACCAAAAAATTTTGTGCTCATTTTTTCAGAGGAGGTCGATTTTCCTACTTTCAAAAATGATACAGCCGCTCCGTGTTTCTTCGTTGAAATTCGTTTCAGCTTCATGCAAATGTTTCACAGTTATCAGGCTTTCAGCCTAATGTTCTCACAAGATAAAGAAGACAGTTTGGTTTTGAAAAGAGGTAAAATGTAGCAAAAAGGACCAGGAATCGTCAAGCAGTCATATTGCGCAAAAATTGAGTCAAAGCTCCAATACGGTTAACAATCTTTTCTGGAATTCTATAGATTATGGAACAACGAAAAGCTCTGGATGTTCATCATTGCTAAGTTAAACTTCTCATTTTGGGTAAACATTTTAAATTCATCGATCAGTGCCTGGAATTCCAGTCTTCTTTCAGAAAACTTTCAATGGATATTGTTGGGGATGTGATATAGAATTTCCGAGGTCATTCTTCAACGGAGAATCAAAGGAACTTTGTTCGTGAAGAGAAATTCTCTCGAAAACTGAGGCATTTTTTGCTCGAAAGTGTAGCCACGTCCACTGAAGCAGGATCAGTTCTTTTGTCCGTTATGCCTTACTTTCTGCCTGCGTTTCTCTCAATGTTTTTATCTCTATAAGAGTCTAATGAAAGGAAAAACCCTTGATGTGGAAGGAAAAACTCGAAAGAAAGTAAACAGAAAGTAAGACACAACGGGCAAAAAAAAACTGAGCTTGCTGCAGTGGACGTGGCTACACTTTCAAGCAAAAAATGTTTCAGTTTTCGAGAACATTTCTTTTCACAAACGAGGTTTCTTTAAAGCAACAGTCCCAGACCGAATTCGTGGGGTAAAAATCGTTGATAATGTAGTCTTAGGTCAAAAGTTACCTGACAGTAAAGAAAATGCAGAAACACGTCCAAGAAGGACTTCGACAGGGACTCCCCTCTGTCACTCAGCAATGGAGGAAGACGCGTGTTGGACGAGTTGTCCGAACCTGCCAATACGTCGAACGAAGCATGCTCTTGGAACGTAATTCGGAAGATATAGCGATCATTCGAAGATTGCCTTCCTCGCGGGGGAAAGGTCAAAAAACTGCAGCACCACACCGACCGCTTTCAAGGACGGAGTTGAAATTCTCCGTGTGGTCTCAAAATGTCAAGAAAGCCTCCGCAGCCAATCACGGCTGGCAAGTGGGCGTTCCCGAAGAATTTCCAACCATACCTATATTCAGGGAGTTTTACGCCCTTTTTGCGGCTTTCCTAGGTGAATTCCCTCTACAATCACACTTCATATGTTCTCCATTAGGGCTAGTGAATCCTTTATGATGCTACGTAAAAATCTAGGGGCGTCTGCGAGACGGCGGTCGCGAAGCGGCTGTGTTACTGGAGCTCGCCAATCATCCACAGTGCTGCTTCGGCCGTTACGGTGACCATATACTATGACACATGACATTAGACTGATCTCCGATTGACTTTTTGTGGACTCACTTTTTTCGCGATGATAGAATACTGGCTATTGGAAATTATCGATATTCAATGTGTTGCAACATTTGCTTCGGCGTGGAAGAAGTTCAAAAGCTCGAGGCCGTCTCCATCTATATTGACTTAAAATGCACCAGCACAATGTCCTTTACAGATTGCATAATTTGCAAAAAGGAGATTCAAAGGTTTCCCATCGTCATGTTTCACTAAAATGGAAATAACAGCAGGGATGGCTCAAAGTATTGATTGAAATCCACCAAAATTTTCGCTCTTCTGACTTTCATTTTTCAGCACTATCCATTTAACTTTGAGTGGAATTCTTAAGTACAAGTTTCCTATTGGGAACATTTTACAGCACTGGTTTGTGTTTTCTGACGGGATTTTTCTTTAGGCCCACAGCGTCTTAGCACTAGGAAGGAGACAAATAACCAGTGTGATAGAATCATTATTCACAGTCCGCATCATTAAGTTGGAAGACTTTTGGATAAACGCATTGGAGATGGTGTCACATTTTTCAGTACGGGGTTTCACGATCAGCGAAACGGATGCAAAAGCCACGTCACATCATCCGGTTTATGATTTTTGGATACTCCAACTATATGCTAATGACATTTTCTGATAAGTCACGGCTGCTGTTGCGATCTGTTGAGAAGCCTTATCGTTAACGTGCTTACATTACGTGCACGTTTACGAAGTAGTTGGTCAAAATTTCACGTTTTAGGTCTCGTATGCATTTCATTAGCGATCATTTGTAATTAAATGGGTCATTCCAGTTAATGAAGTGACGATTCTTTATAATCCATAAAAATCCAGTGCGCAATTTCAAGGGGGCTCCTTCGATACTATGTGAGTTGAGCGTGTAACGGGCCAACCTGACTTCAGTGGCCGGGAAAACAACAAAAGGTAATGCGATTGTCATTAATATAAATGAACGGTAATAGCCCTTAGCGAGTAGTGACTTCTGCACATTAAAATCCTGTTGCACATATATCGACTCTGCCAGCGAAGACATCTTCAAATCGACGCGCACTCTCAATCTGTAAACAAAAATCTTTAGCAGCTGCAACTCAGCACCTGAGCGCGGGTTACGGTGTTGCGGTCCCACAGCGAATTTCGCAGACGCCCCTAGATTTTTTACGTAGCATCTGCTTAATCCCAATAGTATTGAAAGCAGCAGACCCTGCTGGGACTGTTGCTTTAGTTCTCCATCGAAGAATGACCTCGGAAAACTTCAGCACATCCTAAATAATATCCTTTGAATGTTGTATTCTGAAAGAGGACTGGAATTCCGGGCACTGTTCTATGAAAATGAAAAGTTTTCCCAAAATGCAAAGTTTAACTTGGCCAAAAGCAATAATGCACATCTAGAGTTTTCGTTGTTCCATAACCTACAGGATTCCAGAAAAGATTCTCAACCGTATTAGAGTTTTCGACATGGATTTTTGATGAAATTGTCATATTTTTATCTGGACAGTTTTTTCAGAAACTATAAATTTTGAGTTTTCGAACAAATTGTGGGTGGCCGTATCATTAATGAACGCAGTGTAGTATCAAGTTGTATTCCTTTATAAACAGGCAGTAATGGGGAGCAACCGCTAACTGATACCCCTGACCAGACCATGATAGGGTTCGGCTACTGTTTGTGGCGAATATTCTAGCGACCTGAGAGCTGGAGGGTGGTTGGAATTTGACTCTGGAGTGGACATTGGGATGGTAAGGAATATTTGAAAAATAATATAGTACACAATACAGACTTTCACACCAGAGGAGCGAAAGCTCGAGCGGTTGATGTTAGGTATGGAAGAGGTGAGAAGAAGGTGGCTCGTCACTCCTAGAGTGACGGCAGGCAGGCGGCTCGGTGAAGACGACGATTAGAAGAAGAAGACCCCGACCTTACTACTTGAGTGGCTTATACAGGGGTTCCTGCTCAACTGCACAATTGTGTAGGGAAGTCACGGAGGTCCAGGCAGACCACTCAATTGATGGTCGGCCTGGATCCCACAGTGTGGTCATACGGTAGGTCACCCGACTGCGACGTACGGTAACAGCTGTGCTCCTACCGTTGGATTGAGCAGTAGTGCTTATGCAACTTATAATGGACTGTTAGCAGTTGTTATCCGATCACTTCTGCATGGCTGTGTTTAGCAACTTCAGCGTTATGGTCACCTTTCTCGACCCAACCCGGGTATTGCAGTCGTTTTGCTTCTTCATGGTTTTCCTTAGGTCCAAGATGTCAGAACATGTGGAGCGGCCACGACGACTTTTATTGTTTTTTTTTCCAGTGCGCGATAGGCCACGGAGCCGTTCCAAATCCAAAGAGGCGCGATTCACCACTGGATTCTGACCTAGCTGTGTGAGAGGTTAGGCACTCAGTTGAAGTTAAGGCGCACTATGAGATTCAGGCCGAACTGTAAGGCTGATGTCAGAGTCCCCGATCCGTCACAGGTTTCGCTGATTTCCGCGATTTGCGCGATTTTCGCGAAACCTGCGATGGAACACAGGAGTTGGAAGTGCTCGATGAATGCTGCGAGGTGTTGTTTAATCCTGCTGCGAATTCTGCTTGACAGTGACGATTGAAAGACGAATGTTTGTGGTTCTACTTGTTTCATGTTCAATGTCTATTAGTTCATTGAACATGAAACAAGTAGAACCACAATCGTTCCTTTTTTTTAGGACCAAGCCAAACCAAATTGCAAGTGCCCCATTTGAACAATTGAAACACTGGATGTGAAACAAGTGGAATCATGAGCAGTCTTCATTAGACCATAACCATCAAGCAGAAGTGACGGCGGGATTGGAGAACACCTTGCAGTATTGATGGGGCACTTGTGATTTCCGTGACCAGTTGCGTGAATTGCGTAAATCGCGCAATTAGCGAAAATCGCTCGAATCGCGAAAATCAGTGAAACCTGCGACGGATCGCGGACTCGGACATCAGCCTAAGTCGTGGAATTTGTCATGGTCATACGCAAAAGCATAGAGGATGGAATGGTCTGCCAATGTCGGGAGGAAAGCTATAAACACCTACAAAATCTGAGCTCAAAATTTGGTGCAATATTCATGGGACACCCTGTAGTTGTGTAGTTGTTGGTTACCGTATGATCACTAATGTTATATTGTTCTCTACATTTTCTTACACATACATAAATTAACCAGTGCCTTGTATTCAGTCTTACACCACTGGCGGTATCACACGATCTTCGAAGCGGTGTAACTGCGATGTACCTACAAGAGACGCTAGGAAAGTTAGTCATGGCTACTCAAAATAGGGTGGTCCTGATATGGGATATACGCTCCATGTCTTGAACTTTTCATTTATACATTCAGAAATTTATTGCAGATTTTGCTTTTGCTTACGTTCTTCTTTACAAAACTATTTTCGTTATTACGTTGAACAACATTCAAGCTCTTTTGTACAGCTCAACATATTCTCCCTCATGATACACACATTGATTTGTCTGTGACGAGAAGATTACGGTGACTTAGATTCCTTCTTAGAATATCTATTGAGAAATGTCGGTGAAATACTTCTTTTGCTTTTTTTCACTTTTATTTGAGCTAATTTGTAATAAACTATATATGCACAATGGAACAACAAAAACAAAGTCAGATTTACAACACCGAAGCAATTTCTCGTTCAAACTTTATGGGTACAAAAAAGACCCAACGATGTGATTACCCGTCTTTTTATAGCAAGTTTTGTTAAACAGCTGAGGGATTTGGAAGCTGCAAGCTGCGATACACCGGGTCCAGCGCTAACATATTCCTCATACAAACTTATAAAAGTCGGTGCCAACTTAGTTGGGGGGGGGGACCACGCGGCGGCGCGGTGCACTGTTCATCTGCTCCTCTAAGGCTTAGTCCAAAGGGCAGTTACTATTTTGTCGCCACGTGGCATACGCGCCATAGGCGGACTAAGCCTAGGGGAGCAGACGAACAGAGCTCCGCGCCACCGCGTGGTCCCCCCAACTAAGTTAGTACCTGAAAGTCAGCTGCAACAAGGATGACCTCAAAAAAAAACAAGGTTATAATAAGTAATTTTCGCTGTTGCTGACCATATCAGGATGGTAGACGGGCCGTAACCATTTGAATGGCGGCTTAGGCTGGTGTGAGAGTCTCCGATTCGTCGCAGGTTTCGCTGATTTTCGCGAAACCTGCGGCGGATCGCAAAAATTGCAAGTGTCCCATCTGAACATTTGAAACACTGAATATGAAACAAAAGAATCATGAGCAGTCGTCACTCAGCCATCGCTATTCAGCAAAAGTGGCGGCGGGATTGGAGAAAACCGTGCAGTATTGATCGGACACTTTTGATTTTCGTGACCCGTCGCGTGAATCGCATGAATCGCGCAAATCAGCGAAACCTGCGACGGATCGCGAATTCTGACACCAGCCTAAGTCCTCACCCGACGACCACAACTATCTCATTGGTAGCAAAATGAAGCAAGATAAAAATAACCACACTAGATGGCAACAATGGAACTACGATGAAGATCAAGAAAAGTAATGCATATATGCAACGAGCAATCACAATGTGTACCGCACCGTGGGATGACGTAGATAAATTTTCGAACTCGGACTATTAAGGAGTATAACAAGCAAAAAGGGACAACATATTCTCCAGCCTTCAACTGTTCTTGGTCTACTTTATAAAATACTGCAAGTAACGGTGGAGTGAAATATGAAGACTACACCACATTCGAATTTGAGCGAATCCTGTTCAGACAAAATGATGACAAGCTTACAAAAAACTATTTAATAGCCTACAATTGAATAGCGCACGCAAAACACAATTGAGATCGAGTGAACAATACCAGCCAGAGTTGACTCTGTACGCTGTTCTTTCGAGGATGAAAAGTCCTTCAACCAGCTTTACCTCTGAAAGCGCACTTAGCAAGCACGCACCATTTTTCGGAGTCTCCTTGTCCGTGAAGCCTTTTTTGAGAACTTTTCATTCACAAAAAAATAGCATATGACCCTTCCTGACCTCAGCAAACACTGCTTCTGCAGAAGAACACGAAAACTCCTGTATGAGCTACATATAAAGTAACGATGTCAGCATGAACACGACGATTGGTCCTTGGGAACTAAATCACTCTCAGAGAGGCTTATCGACTGAGTTCTCATCAGACCGCCTTTCACCCCTTCCCATCCATCGGTGGGACGAAGAGCTCCTTCTTCGACCCGTTTGTAAATCTGAATTCACGTCTTGTACAAATGAAGTCTTTCTACACCCACAATTGCATAACAGTGCCTCTCTAAAGAGGTCGTAAGGGAACGATCTTCGTAAAAATAAATAAAAGGACAAAGAGTGTTATTCCTTGCATGTCCCACAACTAAGAAGCATAATATTTCTGCATGCCAACTCTTTGTATCATGTACATCCAAATTTACTAGGAATTGTTTACGCCATATTTTTGTTCCCCATTGACTGTTCCCGAAGTACGAAGTAAGAACGCAGTTTCCAAAAAATAAAAATGTATTCAAACTGTGAAATGAATGTGAAAATACAAGATTGTTTCATCTATGAAAAGAGGTCATTTTTGAGTAAGAGATGCGTTACATCATAATGGAATTACCTCTTGGGCCATCATGAGAAAAGCATCATACACATTTTTCCCTGTTACAGCAGATGTCTCGATGAATTTCATTTTATGGTACTTCGCGAAATATTCGCCTTCTTCATAATCCACCTGATAGAAAAAACAGTAAATAGGATGCAAATCATTTGCAAGGAATACTGATCCCATCATAACTTACTCGTCTCTCGCACTGATTGTCGGACTTGTGCCCGATGAGCAAGAAAACACATTTTCCAGGGTTGGGACCTCCCATATTGGCTTCAGCCTCATGCAGCCAACCATTTATATTCTCGAAACTGGCTCGATTAGAAATATCGTAGACCAACATCACTCCAGCCGAATTTCGATAATATGATCTTGTGATGGACCTGAACACAGTTATAGACTTCTTTTGGCGACTCATATACTGATAAAATTGGCGCTTGTTTATTTCTAGAGACAGGTCGTTCAAAACCAAGCCACCATTTACAAACATCGAAGTCAATGAATGATGATGTGTTGCCTGAGGAAAACTCGAATATATTCTATACCCTTCTTAATTAGGTCTATTCCTTTTAACACCCCGCGATGAATTTCCGAGGAACACTCATCTAGGTACCTCGATGTTATTCTAAGGTTAGCGGAGACAGGGTTGTGTCATAGGAATGCTGCCAAGCTTACGGTTGCGGTATCCTGACCTTCTCCCAGAAGGACGCGTCTGCCACCGATTCAGCCTTGAGGATTGGTTTAGAGGACTGCATCGTAGGACACATAAAACGACTGATGTTGCAGCTACCCTTCTCCGTTGAAGCACATTTGGTCTAAAGGGTCACGCTGCTCTGTCTGGAAGGAAGAAAAGCAGGGGTATGGTGTGTCGTATCACGCAATCTCGTCGCCCCAACCTAGAATGGTATCGGGGGCGGAGGACGCGTTCCGTGGGAAGGGAAGACTCGCCCCTTGCCGCTGATCCTATCCTATGGTTTGGGGGGGGGGGGAGATATAGAGTTGCACCATAGGACCCACCATCGAACGTGTTATGTTGTAGCTACATTCTCCTGCGAGGCACATTTTTTTCTGCGGGCGCATTCATAGCCGGTCGACCGATCGTGACGAACGCACAGCGTTGGATGCGTATCGATGCGATTGGACGTGTCCAAGGGTTGGACGACCGGTACGTACTAACTTTGTGCGATCGTTACGATCGGACGACCGACTATGCATGCGCCCTGAGGGGTCGCGTTGGCTGGAGTCTAGAAACGCAGAGTATGGATAGTCCTACGACGCAACCTTGCCTTCCCCAACTATAGGATAGGATCAGCGGCAGTGGACACGTCTCCCTGGGGAGAATTAGATACGGCCCCACCTCGCAGCGAAAAAAAAGTTTCGCATTCGAGAAGCGGAAAAATCGCTTTGCACACGCTTTGCAATGTGTTGAGCTAGTGTTAGAGTCCACGATCCATTGCATGTTTCACTGATTCCCGCGATTTGCGCGATTCACGCCATTTGCACGAAACCTGCGACGGATTGCAAAAATTGGGAGTGCCCCATTTGAACATTTGAAACACTGAATGTGAAATAAGTAGAACCATGGGCAGTCGTCATTCAACAGCCAACACCATCATGCAGAAATGCAGGATTGGAAAACACCTTGCAGTATTGATCGGGCACTTGTGATTTCCATGACCCGTCGCGTGAATTGCGTAAATCGCGCAAATCGCTGAATCGCGCGAAATCTGCTGCTGCTCGCAGACTCTGACACCAGCCCTACTATGTGCACGCGACGTTCAACCTTATTTAGTCATATCTCACAATTTCTTTGAACCTTGCAATAGTTCTTTTCCACCAGAAATGTAAAATCCAACGAAAATTGCGGAAGGGATAGTCCCGTCATGAATATGCAGCTGCTGCACTCTTTTGATAATTTGCATAGTATGTACACCGTATGTACACTCAGAGAAGTGAAAAGGAAAATTGATGGATATTGACAATGCGATAAATACACGTACCGGAACTTCTCTTGACCTGCAGTGTCCCACAACTGAAGTTTCACTCGGAAGTTGGGTTTCAATTCCATCATACAAGCATAAAAGTCTACACCGACAGTTGGATCACTAATTTCAGCAATTTTTCCTTCAGTAAAGTATCTCAGAAGACTAGATTTTCCAACCGCAGAATCACCAATAAGAATCACTCTGAACTGATAGTGAAATAGAGGTCCAAAGTCGTCGCCAATGAAATTGTACTCCATGGCTGAAAATTGTTAGTTATTGTGCAAGGAACACGTAGAGGACGGACGTTGTCTCAAGAATGAAGAGATAGCATGCAGCATTATAAAAGAGCAGACGCATCGATTATTCGGACATCACAACTTTAGAACTGCAATCGAGGTTCCAAGGTGGAAGATTGCTTATTGTTTACTACAATAACAGACACTGGTCAGATCTCAACCGCCCTTTCTTGGCTGCATTGAAAAGCAGGAAGATGCGAGAAGCAATCGCAACATGGTTTAAAGCGTAACAGTTCGGATCTTGCTTCACATGCAAACTATAAAGCTTAATGTTTGATAATGGAAGTCGCAAGAGAAATTTTCCTGACCCTCTTTTAGTCTTCAGTTCGTATATTAGAAGATTACATATATTTCTCACTCCTCAGAATAAGGAACAGTATAATGAAGCCGAAAAATGAGAGAAAATAGAAGCCTAAGATAAACACAACGCTATCCAACTACAAATTTTCCGAACTGCGTCGTTCGCAGTTACGTTTTGATGTATATGGGATATTAAAACAATCTAGGTAGAAAGAAGCTCTAAGAGGAAAAAGGATTAAAGTAGAGTATGGTGTCGTAGGATGCCGCGACGTTCCACGCAGCCTTCAAGGCCTGTTACACCGCAGTACCATGGTGTCGTTAACCCTTTGACGACAATGCGGATTTGCACATATAGCTTGCTCATGGGACCACTCCTCTTTTGGCGCGCCCAACTCTCGCTCACAGTTGGGCAAAATTGTCCCTCAAAACCGGTTCGCTATGGAATTTTTGACTTTAACAGTCTACCAGATGTTCTAGGCTTTCATACTGTTATTGCTTCCAAGAGTATTCCAAGTTTGGAAGGCGAACTCGGGTTGAAAGGGGAAGAATAGCAAACTTCTAAAAGTTTAGGTGTCCAAGAGAATTTTCGATACACTTCAAACCCATTTCCATATTCGAGGGCTATGAGAAGACGAAGAAGTTCTGTTTAGCAATTAATATTCAGCCTAATGATGCAAAACCCCAATTAATATGCTGGCGAGCTAAATGGCACATTCTAAAATTCTATATAAACTAGCTCTTGATCAACATTTCTGTAAGTCGCGCTTATCATAGATATTAAGGAACTCGCTTATAACTATTGGTGTGTTGCAAATGTTTTGAAAGCGCAAGGAAAGAAATTTTACGTGGCCGGACACATAGTTGGTCGGACGACAGCAATGACTGCAAGTGTCGCACAGCATTGGGTGCGTATCGATCTGCGACACATGCGACACTTACGACCGCTGCTATCGGACGACAGCAACGACCGCAAGTGTCGCATAAACCGCGGTTGCAAATGGAAGGCGACGCGGTAAGTGTAGCAGATCAATACGTAGCTACTATTCCACACTACAGTGGGACTTTCGAAATACGATCACGCGCAATCACGTGTTGTCTGGGTTAGCATTGGGTGACCGCGTCGCGTTCCATTTACAACCGCGGTTTATGCGACACTTGCGGTCGTTGCTGTCGTCCGACCGACTATGCGTCCGGGCGGTGGCACCCACTATTGGGTCCATTGTCCCACGCGGCAAACGTAGTGGCACCCACCCCATGGATTAAGGCGCTGATGAAGTTCTTGAGATGAGTGCTTGGAAGAAGAGCAAGGATATCCTCCTACTGGGGTGTCGTGCACTAGGACAAAAAGCGAATCGTAACTCATGACGGAAAGCGGCTGCTGCCGTCAAATAAAATGTACCGCCGCAGCAATGCCCACACTGTGCCATACCTCACGCGCAACGGGTGTAAAATGGAGAATGGGGAGTTGCTACGTGGTACAACGTTGTGGCAACTGTGAATATGAAAGTCTTGGAGATGGAACTTGATTCTACCAGGAACATGGAAGTCGGATTCAAGAGAAATTGGGAGTTAAGGGTTTGGTTGACCTCTACATGGATTAGGGCGTGCGGCTATCCATGTGCCATCGTTAGTGATGGAAGAACTAAATCCAGATCGTGGTTCTCTTATTACATCATCACCTCTCATATGGGTCAGCACAGCGATTGTTTCAGCTCACAGAAAAGTACTAGACTATCGAACGCTTCAGCAATACCTTTTGTGTACCAGTGGATCCTGGTTACAAGGCTTCTGTCAACCAGGGGGTGAGAGTGTAGGAGGAAAAGCAGACGTTCTTTGTGATAGCGGGACTAAGCCTTTTTGAGAAGCGGAGATTCTGTAATAGTGCGCTTGTGTGAGAACTCCCAGACAGTACAACAAAACGCTGAATTGCCTAGCCTCTCGGTTGACAGATGTCCGGAGACCGTGGATCCTAAGGTTGCGCGGTCTACGCAGAAGTCAACCTTTCCCCTCAGTGAGACCCAGGAGAGTCGTTAAATGTTATAGTTGCCGCCTTTCTTTATCTTTAGGCGCAATGTGCCATCAGCGGGGGGGGGGTGGGGCAGTCTTTCGAAAGGTCGGTAGGACTGAGCCCAACGCAAAGGGGACGAATGAAAACTGCTGACGCAGCTCTAATTCCCTTTTTTCCTTGATTAGTCCCAGAACTGGAAGCCGCATTGCGCCGAGTTTCATTGCGGTCGTGGTATCTCCATTTACAACAGAAACAGAATAAACATTGTAGAAATGAATTGCTGACAGCCTTTTTGAGTCCACAGTGGCATGATGAAAGATGCGATACATACAAACTTTTGTGAAACATTCACAAAAGTACCTGGCAGACTTGTGCCAGGACCGGAATGCCAATGGTACACTCAATTCTGTCATAAACCATATCCTTGAACCTGGTTCGGGTGTATCGCTCGAACTCTAGAAATGTGCACGGTTTCTCATCCCTACTATATATAAAACGCTGTGTGTGTGTGTGTGTGTGTGGTGGTGTGTGTGTGTGTGTGTGTGTGTGTGTGTGTGTGTGTGTGTGTGTGTGTGTGTGTGTGTGTGTGTGTGTGTGTGTGTGTGTGTGTGTGTGTGTGTGTGTTGTGTGTGTGGTGTGTGGTGTGTGTGTGTGTGTGTGTGTGTGTGGTGTTGTGTGTGTGTGTGTGTGTGTGTGTGTGTGTGTGTTGTGTTGTGTGTGTGTGTGTGTGTGTTGTTGTGTGTGTGGTGTGTGTGTGTGTTGTGTGTGTGGTGTGTGTGTGTGTGTGTGTGTGTGTGTGTGTGTGTGTGTTGTGTGTGTGTGTGTGTGTGTGTGTGTGTGTGTGTGTGTGTGTGTGTGCTGTGTGTGTGTGTGTGTGTGTGTGTGTGTGTGTGTGTGTGTGTGTGTGTGTGTGTGTGTGTGTGTGTTGTGTGTGTGTGTGTGTGTGTGTGTGTGTGTGTGTGGTGTGTGTGTGTGTGTGTGTGTGTGTTGTGTGTGTGTGTGTGTGTGTGTGTGTGTGTGGTGTGTGTGTGTGTGTGTGTGTGTTGTGTGTGGTGTGTGTGTCGTGTGGTGTGTGTGTGTGTGTGTGTGTGTGTGTGTTGTGTGGTGTGTGTGTGTGTGTTGTTGTGTGGTGTGTGTGTGTGTGTGTGTGTGTTGTGGTGTGGGTGTGTGTGTGTGTGTTGTGTGTGTGGTGTGTGTGTGTGTTGTGTGTGTGTGTGTGTGTGTTGTGTGTGTGTTGTGTGTTGTGTGTGTGGTGTGTGTGTGTTGTGTGTGTGGTGTGTGTGGTGTGTGTTGTGTGTGTGTGTGTGTGTGTGTGTGGTGTGTGTGTGTGTGTGTGTGTGTTGTGTGTGTGTGTGTGTGTGTTGTGTGTGTGTGTGTGTGTGTGTGTGTGTGTGTGACCGAATTCATAGCTCGGGCACCAGTGTCGTGCGAGGGAACGTTGAATTTTAGGACATGGTATAGGGGGTGGGGCGGGAATATATTGGTGCGTGTTGCAAAAGGATACGACTGATCAGAGGCAGACTAAAAGGCCTGAAACAGCATTTCACGAAATTATGTAATTGGCTTCGGCAGTCAGTTGTACAGGAGTTGAGTTTTGACATGGTATAAGGGGGTGGGGCGGGAATGATATTTGGTGGCGGGGTTGCCAAGTGATAACGGCTTGATGGAGAGAGCAGATAAGGGCGCTGAAAACACAAATTTCAGAAATATGTCAGTGGCGCTTCGCAGCAGTCGTGGAACTGATTTTGGACATGAATATGGGTGGGATCGGTGACATACTTTGTGTGGTTTTGTCATACAAGTGATAACGACACGCTGCGGACTGATAGTAAATGATTATGCGTACGAAGTAGAGATCATCGAATAACGAGATTGCAGATAGTGCATTTCATTTCAATATCATTTCACTAGCGTTATACTTGTAAACTCAAACAACCTTTCACACCTGCACCTTCTCGATTTTTGAGGATGAATGAGCCTGCTCGAATAAATACGATAGTGAAGTACTGGGCATTCTATATTGGAGCATGCAATCAAAAATTATTCGGACCGCTAGATTCCTCGATACTCGATGCCATGTGGTTGCTTTCCATACATACTTTCGGCTGTGCACTTCTGCGCTATCAAACTGAGATACAGCCAAGATGAAAGCAATGGACAGTAATGATTTAAGGAACAGCTATAGTTAAAGCGTGAGACTCTAGCTTCCCTATTCTCAGTCACTCAAAGGCTTCCGTGTCATGCGCGCGGTAGCGGGCGGAGCTAAACTGGTAAACCAATAAGCAGGTACCTACATGTAGCAACATCGGCATTCCTTCACATTCACTGTATAGAATTTTTGGCGATGAAAAAGTGAATTGAGAAGATATGAGGTGGGGTTCGCTTCTGCTGGGTTCACTTGCGTTCCCCAATTACCGCAGTCATTCATGACTTCTAGTCACCTTCTTGAGGTTTCCAATCGCAAGTTGTAGTAGACCTTACCTTGTCTTTCGCACTGTACTTTACTATTTATTACAATTAAGGTGTTTCATGCACTCCTTTGTATGTTCGGCCTCCACCTGGCTCGCACAATGTTTGTGAGAGATCATTTCAACCGTGTTGCGCGTGAGGCATAGCACAGTGTGTGCAGTGCCGCGGCGCCCCAGTGACGATC